ATATGTACAAAGAAGCATAAATCTCATAGGAGGATTATTCCTTATGTATAATTTTAATTAAAATTTCCAAGTCACTATGATTGAAATTTTATATTTTACCGTAAATGTTTCCTAATTAATCTTTATTTTTTTATTTAAATAATGGTGAATTGTTTAATAAAATCTTAAGCTATTGTTTAAAAATAACGAATTAATTCTGAATCAACGTTTTCTACGTGAATAGAAATCAAAAATCTACTTTGAATTTTTTTATCGAAATTCTAATTCCACATCTGGAATAACAAAAAAATCGACTTCTTTTACAATATACGTATATATTATTATCAAGAATCGTGTTTAGAAAATGAAATTTTCGTCCTTTTTAAAATGCTTGGATCAGTCAGTGTTTTTCTGATCAAGGTGATTAAAAACTCTTGTAATACTTACCATATATCAATATTCCGAATGAGTGTAGTTTAAATTTCGATTCATCATAATACTATTTTATTAAAAAAAAAAATATATAATGACAACATGTTGCAATGTTCACAACAACCACAATTCTTTTTGATAAAAATAATAGCACACAAAAAAGATTGATGATCAATTTTGTCACAAGTGATAAAACGAATGTCCACTATGCTGATTAATTATATCCAGACATTAAAAACAATGGTACCATTATTTGTATTTTTACTAAAAATATAAATATCTAAGCAAAGTTTTTCCTAACTCTTTCGAATATATTAAAATTATTGATTATAATGCTAAGATTGCCTTTTTGAGTTCATTGTACTGACATTCTTCAGCAAGTTTTAAAATATTATCCCAGGGTTCATTTGAAATTTTGGAAGCCCAAAAAGTTTTGATATCAATTAGATTATAAAGATTAACTGTATCATGTTTTGTTTTGTTCATCAATAAATAAATATTATGAATTAAAATGTGTAAGTCATCTTGTGGACGAAATTCTACAAGAGTATCCCATCTTTCCAAAATATATTGTGACTATACATGAAGTCGAAATTAAAACCCCAAAGTCGAAATGTTTTGACTTGAGGCAACTACATAGTAAAAATCAGTTTCAACCTTATTTTGACCCTATTTCAACCAGATCTGCAAATGGTCAAAATAGTTTCGACTTCATGTATAATTGTGACATATATAGAGGATGGGAACCTTTATAAATAGCAGGTTGATCATTAGACAATATGCTGTAACCAAAATCAGATAAGATAAACTTCAATTCATTAGACTCATCAATGTAGTAAAGTATGTTTGATGGATGGCAATCCCGATGAAGAACACCTTTTTCATGAATACTTTTAAAACATCTATAATTATAGCAAGTTGTTTGGGGTGAAAATTTATTAATTCTTTGGAAATAACTGAATCAATACACCGTGGATAAAGCAAAAGACAAGTAGTTGAGTGTTTCTCAAGCTGTATGATGTTAGGTGTTCCTTTCAAAATATTCATAATTTTGATTTCGTTTTGCAATATGTGAGTCTCCCTTATGATTTTGACCAATTGATTTGGGTATTCCTTGACTGTATATACACTTGCAGTGCTGCCATGGCATAATATTGTATTAACTGTTACCCCATCTATCTGAACCAGTGGATGGTATGTGTTATGTGTTAGCAGAGCTCGAAGAAGACAATTACCTTCACCATTAGGTTGTTTTAAGTGCAAGCAATTGGTATAATCAACCATATATGAAAGACCAGTGGTTGTGTTATCTGTTTTATAAATTCGAATAAACATCACCTCATGACAATCAGTAAGGAATAGTGTAACGTTCCTTCAATGTTGTGCTTTTAATAATTTCAACCCATACTTTAGCATTTGTCCTTTGTGAGAATTCTGAAAGCAGTATAATTCTGACTTTCTTGGTTTTATATCTCCAACACAGTCCACTGAATATATATTCAGAACATAATTTAATGTTACAACTGATATATCAGGTGCTGGCCCTTCAAGATACATTTGATTATGAGTATCAACAATCTGTGTAATACCATTTTCTCCTATTTGACTTGAAATATTTCTCATAAATATTTTTGATAAGTGATTTCATTGTAGGAATTCAGTGGATTATCAAATGTCAAACCTTCATCATCTGGTATAAACCACGGATTTACAGGTTCTTGCATATCTGGAACATAGAGGGACCATCGTTCAGAGTCACTAGCAACTGATGATGTTAACAACAATGTGTCTTCGAGCTTATGTCATTTTTTCCTTTCTACCTCAAGTTCCCCACTTGCATCTTGTTAAAATTATTAATAAGAAGTGAAATATTATGATTGATGCCAAGTTTTCATCATAGGAATAAAAAAAGGAATTTTGGTTAGTTAAAGTTCTAAACAGTATACCAAATGAATGGAAAATAATTTTTTGTATATTTTTTACGCAAATTTGAAATGATCATCATTAAATAAAATTTTGGTCGGTGTTCGTATTTTTTTAATTAAAAATCATAAAAGAACGATAGAAAAATGAGATTTTATATGTAGAGTCGTCAGAACTAAGCCATATAATGACATAAATTTTATGTACTTTTGTTATGTGGCATTTTGCATAATTATCAAAAAACATCGTCCAAATACTTTTTGGAGGGCAGTGTATGTAAACAAACAATTTATAAATCAAATTTGTATCGCAAACCGCCATTATTTTCATTACACACTGTATATCGTGAAAAAAAGAATATTCCACATAATGATGCAATTTTTACCATGCACATGGTGGCAAATACTATCAAAGCCTGATGTTTTATTTACAAAAAGTAGCAGTAAATTATTTGCAATTACACTTCATTCTGCGGGTTGTGAATGTATTTCAATTTTATGTTTTACAATCAGTGAAGAAATAATCCAGAATTAATAGTTAAACAATGGAAACTATTATGTTTTAAATGGGAAAAGAGTTGGAATATTTGTGACAAATATATTAGATATTCAAAGATTCGTGAAGTTGGAAGATTATTAGAAGAGGATGATAATAAAGAAGTTGGAATTTATAATGTTGAAGATAATGAGGGTGCTATAATTAATCACCAAATAAGAAAACAAATAATTATCCAAGATGACCTAAATCAAGTATACTTGAATTTAAATAAGTTTTTACCTGATTTGACATATCTAATACTTTCGATATGTCTAATAATTTGACCACAACTTAATGTCTATGACCATTTTTACTGTGATTGTCTATTCATCAATTATTTAGGTAACAATCTTTTACAAATTATAAATAAAAGAACAACCAGTTACAAAGACATTATCACATATTATAACCATTAATCTGATCCGTCAGATAACGGTTCTATACCACACCATTATTAGTGTTAATATCATTGTTAATGCTATTAGCATTAATGAGGTTAATGGCATTATTGCGATTAATATTGTGGATCATTAACTGATTCATGTAATTAACAAACTAGAAAAGTATCAGCCAGATTGAAATTGAATAAAACCAGTACAACCAAGTCAATGCCAAAGTGAAAATAAGATT